GATTCATGTACCATTTTAAATCACAGGTGGAACAAGAAGGGAGCAGGTAACCCAATTGAGGACGCTTTCCGTTCAATCCTCCTGGTCCATGGGGGTTGAGAAGTTTCATATAGGAGATGGTGTAGTAGCCCTGATCCCTGTTTAAATACCATTGTTTTAAAGCATAAGTTCATTTTCAGAGTCCAGAACCTAGTACTCAATGGGCATTCACCTGTTTCTAGAAGTAGGACCGTGTTTGGTACACCAGAAGGTACATTTAAAAGATCTCTTATAAACCTTGCTTATATCCTATCTAGGTTTATGGCTGAATTTTCCCACCATATGGCTGCATCAAAAAGGAGTTTAGAGGCTCTTCTAGCATTGAAGATTTTTAGTGCGGAGGGGACATGTTGTCCTCCATTGTTGTAATAAAATTTTATTATAGCTCCTCGACAGGCCTTTGCCTTTTGCATCACTGTTTCAGAGTGCTCTCTCCAGGATAACGTGTTGTGGAAAGTAAGGCCCAAATAATGGAAGCTTCTAACCTGCTCCAGTAGCCCATTTATGTAAATTTGCATTCAAAAACAAAAACTTTTGATTTGCTAAAGTTTATGTTAGCTTGTTTATTTCACAATATTCTGTAAATTTCCTGTTGCTGTTATGTGTAAACATACTCCACAAATTATGTAGAAATGCACATTCACATTGAACCAAAAAAAAAAAAAAAAGAAAAGAAAAGAAAAGAAAGATTGACTTTAAAATGGTCAAAGTACAAAYTTGTGGCAAGTTAGCACAGAGCACAAAGTAAAGTGGCAGAAGCATCCTTTCTTCTTCCTCCTGTGCTCAAGCGTGATTGGTGGGAACGAGGGAKAGGGCCTTCTCAGTGGTGGCCCCATGACTCTGGAACTCCCTCCCCAAGGACATCAGGCACTCCCCAACACTGGCAGTCTTCAGAAGGAGCTTGAAAACATGGATGTTCCAGTGTGCCTTCRCAGATTAAGGAATCCCAAGCAATGTCCCTAATGCACTTTATGAGAGAGTTAGAATTGTCTGCACARCCTRTTATTTCCAAAATATTCATCCTACCTCACCTGGACATGCCCAGCATTTTTAGAATTTTAACCATTACATTTGGCCCTGCCACAGGTTTTTAATAGTGTCGTGTTTTTGTTTATATTCTGCTTTGTTATGAGTTATTTATTTTTGCATTGTATTGTTGTTGTGTTTTTGCTAATGATGTACTTTGGGCTCGGCCTCTTGTAAGCCGCACAGAGTCCTGCGGGAGATGGTAGCAGGGTTCAAATAAAGGATTATTATTATTATTATTATTATTATTATTATTATTATTATTCCAGCCTCCTTCCCTCCCTTGCTCTCTCTCCCTCTCTCTCTTCATGAAGCCAAACAGACCAGAAATAAAAACCACACACAATCAACTCAAAGTTCCTCAAAGTGGACAAGAGCAAAGCAGGCAGCAATCTCCCAAAGCAGATAAGAACATGAGACACGGAGGCTGCTCCTTTGAAACCCTAAAGTCCTGTACTCTTACACTAGCGCTCCCTCTTAACTCAAAACGCGGTTGGTATGCCAAAGCGAAATCCAAGTTAAAAACGACAGCTCTTAACTGTGCTCTTAAGCTGGGGCACTTTAAAGTCAAGCTTCCACTGTATCTATATGAATGTGTTTATGGACATATGGTGATCCTATGAATGAGTGACATCCAAGTCTCTCTGACATCGACCACCCTGCTCAGTCTGTCATATTCAGAGCTACGGCTTCTCTCACCGAGTCTCTCTGACTGTCATGCGGTCTTCCTGTTTTCCTACCACTTTGCCAAGCATTTTCTAGTGAGTCATCTCTTTGGCCGAAGTATGTCTGTGTTCTTAAAATTGGGCATCTGGATTCGGTGCAGTCTGGCATTATGCCGGGACATGGCACTGAGACAGCCTTGGTCTCCTTAGTGGATGATGTACACAGGGAACTGGACAGGGGGAGTGTGTCTCTGTTGGTTCTCTTAGATCTTTCTGTGGCCTTCAATACCGTAGACCATGGTATACTTCTGGGACCCCTCGCAGGAGTGGGGCTTGGAGGTATTGTTTTGCAGTGACTCTGGTCCTTCCTGGAGGATCGCTCTCAGAAGGTGTTGTTGGGAGACACCTGCTTGACCCCACAGGGTTTGACCTGTGGGGTTCCGCAGGGCTCAGTATTGTTCCCCATTTACATGAAGCCATTGGGGGAGATAATCCAGAGTTGTGGAGTTCAGTGTCATCTGTACGCAGATAACATCCAACATCTTTTCCACCTACTACTAAGGAGGCTATTCAGGTCCTGAATTGGTACCGGGCATCTGTGATGGTCTGGGTGAGGGTTAACGAACTGAAATTGAATCCAGGCAAGACAGAGGTACTCCTGCCCAGTCGCAAGGCCAAACAGGGCAGGCTACAGCCTGTGCTGGATGGAGTTACGCTCCCCATGAAGACACAGGTTTGCAGCCTGAGAGTTCTCCTAGATTTGCCAATGAGCCTGGAACCCCAGGTTTCGGTGGTGGCCAGGGGGCTTTTGCACAATTAAAACTAGCTTGCAAGTTGTGCCCTTATCTTGAGAAGCCAGACTTGGCCATGGTACTGCACGCTCTTGTTGCATCTCAAATAGACTACTGCAACACGCTCTATGTGGGGTTGCCTTTGAAGACTGTTTGGAAACTTCGAATGGTCCAACAGGTGGCAGTCAGATAACTTACTGGAGCGATGTACAGGGAGCACACAAGCCCTCTGCTGTGTCAGCTCCACTGGCCCAGATTGTGGCAGGATCCTCAGAGATTTCCTCTCGGAGGCTCGCAATTTCTCGGCAAACTGGCCACATGGGAAAGCATTGCTGGGTTCCACAAACCTTGCTGACTGCGTGCTTTGTGGTACCCACCGTGGTTGCTACTGCCCATGCTTGGAATGGGCTGTGCTTTTTTTTTTTCTTTCCTTTCAGGAGGATTCCTGTAAATTCTCCTTCCTGATCCTCCTGGGAGGTGCTAAGAGACGTTCTCCTCCTCCTCCTTTTGTGTGTGCGCTGCATATTGAGTAGCGGGTCAGAGATGGGGCTGATCGATCCTTCGCAGGCCTCCTTCTTCTCTCCGCCTCGTCTCTTGAACAAATTTGTGGGCTTTCGTTTCTTTGAATACAGGTTTCACACTCATCATACACACCACACGCAGTTTCTCGGCCCATTTAACGAAGCCAAGGTGTTCCTTGGTTTGATTTTTGAAACAGAAAAAACTTGGTAATGGGGCCAAATCTCTGCAATTTGTGAATGGAATAAAGTTGGGTTGCTGTGAGTTTTCTGGGCTGTCTGGCCATGTTTCAGAAGCACTCTCTTCTGATGTTTCACCCATATCTATGGGTGAAACATCAGAAGAGGACTGAAGACCGACAGGTCGCAGGTTCGAATCTGGGGAGAGGCAGATGAGCTCCCTCTATTAGCTCCAGCTCCTCATGCGGGGGCATGAGAGAAGCCTCCCACAAGGATGATAAAACATCAAAAATCATCCAGGCATCCCCTGGGCAATGTCCTTGCAGACGGCCAATTCTCTCACAACAGGAGCGGTTGCTCCTGACATGACAAAAAAACAAACAAAAACCCATATCTATGGCAGGCATCCTCAGAGTTTGTGATGTCTGCTGGAAACTTGGCAAGTAGGGTTTATATACCAGTGGAATGATGTCCAGGGTGGGAGAAAGAACTCTTATCTGTTGGAGGCAAATTGGAATGTTACCATTGGCCACCTTGATTAGCATTGAATAGCCTTGCAGCTTCAAGGCATGGCTGCTTCCTGCCTGAGGAAATCCTTCGTTAGGAGGTGTTAGCTTGTAGCCAGATTTTGTTCATTTTCATGGTTTCTTCCCTTCTGTTGCAATTGTCTACCTGCCTGTGGATGTCAGTGGCTTCTCTGTGTAGTCTGTGTAGACCAAGAACAAGCCACGAGAGGAAAGGCAAAGATCCACCCAGATGAAAAGTGTTTTTACCATACAGCAAGGGAACCACTGACTGCATAGGGATGCTGTTAAAGAAACACAACATACAAACTATCTACAGACCCACTAAGAAAATCCAAGAAATGCTACATTCAGCAAAGGACAAGAGGGATCCTCTTACCTCTGCAGGAGTCAACCGTATACCATGAAGCTGTGGACAAGTCTGCATAGGGACCCCCAAACACGAACCAAGGAGTATGAAAGGTACTGCAGACTAACTCAGCCAGAGAAATCAGCCATAGCAGAGCACTTGATGAACCAGCCTGGACACAGCATATTATTTAAGAGCACAGAAATGCTGGACCACTCTAACTACCACCATGTCAGACTACACAAAGAAGCCCTTGCAATCCACAAGCATGTGGACCATTTCAGTAGAGAGGAGGAAACCATGAAAATGAACACAATTTGGCTACCAGTATTTAAAAAAACTCTAAAATCAGTACAGTAAATAAAGGGCAACACTAAAAAAAAACAGGGGAATTCCAGACAGGAAACAATCGGGGCCAGTTAACACCTCCAAAGGATTCTACCAGGCAGGAAGCAGCCAGGGTTTGAAGCTTCAGGACCATTCAGTGCTAATCAACGTCGCCAGTTGCAGCATTCAAACTTGCCTCGAGTTGTTTCTCCCACCCAGGAAATTATTCCACAGATATATAAACCTCACTTGTCAACAGACCTCACTACCTCTGAGAAGCCTGCAATAGATATGGGTGAAACGTCAGGAGAGAATGCTTCTGGAACAGAGCCAGACAGCCTGGAAAACTCACAGCAACCCAGTGATTCCATCCATGAAAGCCTTCGACAACAATGAAACAAAGTTAATGATAATTGAATCATCCAACAGCAGAGGTGTCACTGACTTGTCCGTAGGGACAGATTTAGATTTTGGAATATGGGACTCTGGATATGGGACATTCAACCTGTGCTATTGTGAACCAAAGCACTGTCAAATGGGTTTCTCCAAACTAATTTCTCTCTGTTTCCCTTTTCACTCAGGCAATATTTTAATACCACTTGCGATTTGTACACAAATTCCATCGGTGGGCTCCCGTTCTCCGATACCAACTATGCAACCCCTAGCTTTGCCGACTTTTTGCCGAAAAACGGCGATTTTCCTCAGGTAAGATGAGGCCCCGCGGCCTTTCCAACATATTCCTTTGCCTTTCTGACGTCTGTATGTTTCTGTCCCTGGTCTGGAAGCAAAACCCTCCCCTTTTTTTGTTTCGTGCAGTCATTGGCTTCATACAGATGGCAGTTTTCAGAAGCGTATTTGATAATCAGTCAGGCAGTTATAAATGTGAGTTGTTTTGTTTTGTTTTTTAACCAAAACAGACTGATTCAGCCAGCGTTTGAGAACATGTCCTGGTTATGTCCCACTTGGACTCTTGCAATGTATCCAACATTGGGTTGCAATTGGAAATTGCCATAATTGGTCCCAAATTATTTACGCGGACTACCGACGGGCTGGTTATAGGAAAGAGGTTGTCAGCAGTGTTCAAGTGGACTCTGACTTATGGAGACTCTATGTATTATGCTTGTAAGTTGCTTCTGACTTATGATGACCATAGCATGAGATTCTTGGCAAGATTTATTGTTAGCCACATATTTCTTAATGGGAGACATTTCGATTCTGTAGGATCGACAACCCAGTGGTTATATTTATCATGTCAGAAGCAAATTAATGGTACAGATAAAATGTATTTAAAACACAAACAAAGTTAAAAACTTGGCATTATACTAAATTTCTCTTGACTTGAAGCTGACCACTTAGAGTGCCTCTGCTGTTGCTGTGAGAAGACCCTCCATTGTGCATGTGACAGGGCTCAGGTTGCATTGTTGTAGTTGGTCTGTGATTTGCTCTTCTCTGCACTCATATGGTGTGGATTCCACTTTGTAGCCCCATTTCTTAAGATTGGCTCTGTATCAAGTGGTGCCAGACTGCAGACTGCTTAGTGCCTTCCAAGTCTCCCAGTCTTCTGTGTGCCCAAGGGGGAGTCTCTCATTTGGTATCAGCCATGGATTGAGGTTCTGGGGTTTAGCCTGCCACTTTTGGACTCTCGCTTGCTGAGGTGTTGCTGCGAGTATCTCCGTAGATCTTAGGAAGCATAGGAAGCTATTTCTTAATTTAAGGCATTGGCTTGCTGTCTAATATCCGAACAGAGGATGGGCCAGAGATGTCAATGCTTTGGTCTTTGCATTACTGGCTGCTACATTCCAGCAGATATCAAGTGGTTCATTAAACAGTATAATTTCTCCAGTGGTGTTGGGCGTAGACATTCTGTGATAGTGCACCATATCTTATTAAGAGCCACATCCACTGTTTTTATGTGGTGACATGTATTCCACACTGGGCATTCGTATTTAGCAATAGAGTAGCAAAACGCAAGGGCAGATATTTTCACTGTGTCATGTTGTAAACCCCTGGTTGTACAGTCAGCTTTCGTATGATATTATTTCTAGCACCCACTTTTTGCTTGATAGTCAAGCAGTGCTTATTGTAAGTTGGAGCATGGTCCAGAGTAACTCTGGTATTTTGGTGTGCTGCAGTGCTCCAGCTCGGGATGCTTGTCTGTTCTTATGATGAAAAGCACACGTCTGCATTTTAGATGGATTAGGAATCAGCTGGTTTCCCCTGTAATAGGTAGTAAGAGCACCTAAAGCTTCAGAGAGCTTCTGTTCAACCATTTCAAAGCTCCCTGCTTGAATGGTGATGGTATGATCATCAGCATAGATGAAACTCTTTGTCCCTTCTGGCAGTGGCTGATCATTTGTGTAAATGTAAAACACTGAGGGAGCAAGCATGCTCCCCTGAGCCAAGCCATTCTTTTGTTTTCGCCATCTGCTTCTCTGGCCCTGGAACTCAACAAAAAAGCTCCTGTTTTGTAACAGATTTCCTATTAAGCGGGTGAGCTGGATAATCCTTTGTGATATTATAAATTTTTCTCAGGAGAAGGTGATGATTTATAGTATCATATGTTGCTGATAGGCCTGTGAAGACAGCTCCTGTAATCTGCTGCCTTTCAACCCAGTGGTTGACTATTAAAAATGACAAATGGTGGACAATTTCTTTATTTAGGTTGATGCAAAAGTCATGTTTTAAGTGCTGGATTGGGACAACAGCTGATCGAATCCCCTCTCGGTTTGGGATAAACTTTGGAAACTTCTTTTTTGTGCAAATGCTGATGATGCTACTTAACAGTATGTTTTAGTCGACATTATACCCATCTGTTTTCCCCTGCCGAATTTAAGGGCCCTCTGGCCCTCGCAGGCCATTTTCAGTTGACAATGAATCCTAAGTCGTTTACAATAAGAGGACCGTGTGCAGATGCAAATTGCGACACATTGTGGAATGAGTACATGACAGCAACAAGGGAAAAACAAAATGCTTCTGGGATGTTTTTTCCTTTCTTTCTGAGCAGTCATTTTATCTTTACCTTTACCTTCATCTGTGTGTGTTTCATTGTTTCTGGGCACTGAATGTTTGCCTTTGTTTCTGAGTATGCTGGAATCTGCCAAGTCCCCTCGGGGAGATAGGGCAGAATACAAATAAAGTATTATTATTATGGGTTGTTGTAGGTTTTTCGGGCTATATGGCCATCTAGATGCAGGTGAAATGTCAGGAGAGAATGCTTGTAGAACATGGCCATATAGCCCGAAAAAACTACAACAACCCAGTGAAAACCTTCGACAATATTATTATTATTATTATTATTATTATTTAATTGGAAACCTGATGACAGTTGAATTTGGGGCAACGTGTTTTCTCCTAAATGAGCTGATGATGGATTGGTTGCAGCTTGAAGTGGGAATGCCTTTTTTATTCCAAAGCCATTTTTTTCCTGGGAAAATAATTGAAAAGTGTATAGAATATGTTCTTTTCCAATGATAAATAATATATCTATGGCATGATATTCAAACTATATAACATGAAAACCATAATAATAATAATAATAATAATAATAATAATAATAATAATAATAATAATAATTTATATCTCGCTTTTCTCCCAACCTTTTTTTGACCAGGGACCACTTTACAGCATTAGTGCCAAAAGGGTTACAAATCAGTTTTTGGTCAGTTTTAGGTTCGGTTTGGTTATTTGGGATGCCGACTCAGAAAATTGCATTGGAAAGATCACATCAGCTTTAGCTTCTGATACAGAACATATGCCATCCAGTAGTCTCCATCTGCTCGCTCACAGAATATCGTATTTTATTAGCCTCGGCACTATAAGAGGGTTGTGCGAGACCAGTTGCTCTCATTGCAACCGTGCAGTAACGGTGAGACTGCGGACCATGTTTTAGTTCTTGCGTACCACTGGTGGTCCATGGACCACAAGTTGGAAACCACTGCCCTAATGGGACTCAAAGCAGCTCATAACATAATATAATATAAATCAAAGCACATTTAACATAAAAATAATACAAAATCATGCAAAGCATAATAACATCCAGAAATAAGATATAAATAAATATTAAGCACTAGCTGTACCCACCACGCGTTGCTGTGGCCAACCTTCCCTCCCTCTTTCTCTCCTTTCTTTCTCTTTCTCTCTCTCTCTCTCTCTCCCTTTCTTCTTCCCTCCCTCCCTGCCTCCCTCTTTTTCTTTCCCTTCTTTCTTCCTTCTCTACTTGTTTGTTTTCTCACTTCCTTTGCTCTTTGGTTCCATCCTTCCTTGTCTCTTTCCTTCCTTCCTTCCCTCCCTCTTTCTCTTTTTTTTTTTTTCTTCCTTCCCTCTTCTTCCTTCCTCTTTCATTTTTTATTTCCTTCTCTACCTTTCTTTCTTTCTTTCCTTCTTTCCTTCTTTCTCTCCTTCTTTCCCTCTCTCCTTCTCTTTTCTCCTTCATTTCTTCCTTCTCCTTTTCTGTGTATATGTGTTTTGTGTGTGTATATATGCATATATATGTTTATATATTTGTGTTTATGTGCATATATGTGTGTTTGTGTATATATGTGGTTTTGCACATGTAATGTATTTTTATTTTTTGGCTTTTTAAGTCCCTTCTGCTGTGTTTTTCAGTGTTTGTATGAGTGATGGTCACTCCTTGGGTTAGTAGATGTCTTGTGTCCAAATTTGGTGTCAATTCGTCCAGTGGTTTTTGATTTATGTTAATCCTACAAACGAACATTCCATTTTTATTTATATAGATTAAAAACATTTAAGATCAATTGCAATTATTGTGGAGACTCCATAATTAAATAGTATATTTCGCTTTTAATAAAAGATTTCTGAAACTTTTTGTTTTTACACACTTCTGTTTCTTCATTTTTTTCCTGGCCATCCCATCTCTAGTTGCAGGGGTTGTAGCAAAGAGTGCATTGGACAGTTGTTGTTGTTGTTGTTGTTGTTGTTGTTGTTGTTGTGTGTCTTTATTTTCCCCCAGTGTATGACAATCCTAAGGTGAACCTGTCATGGGGAAATTTGCCTTTGCCTTCTGAGGCTGAGAGAATGTGACTTGCCTAAGGTCACCCGATGGGTTTCTATGGCTGAAATGGGGATTTGAACCCAGTTAGTCTCTAACTTGTGTGAGGAAGCCACTGCACATGACATACCATGTGAGCTCTTGAACCTCATTTGAAAGAAGGAAGGAATGAGCCCCTGCAATACCGGCTCGTTAGGCCCAACTAGCACAGAATGCAATGAGATTCTTACTTCCCTTGACTTAGAAACTATAGTTCTTTTAATGCAAGCTCAAATAGGATTCATCTCATTTTCTGCAGCACTATGTCACTGCTAAGCCAAAGATCCCCCATCCTATACCTGCTAAGCCAAAGATCCCCCATCCTATACCTAAAACTCTACATTGGGGCTTAAATGTAGAGTTTTAGATTTGTCTTTGTTTTTCTATTCTGCTTCACCTGGAATAACCCTATGTGTAGTTCCAGGAATCACAATTCAAGAAGGATGTGGACAAGCAGGAACGCGTCCAGAGAAGGCTGACTAGAAATGGTCAAAGGGGCCTGGAAGCCATAAATCCCTCTGAGGAATGGCTTCGTGAGCTAGGAATGTTTCGCTTGGAATTAAAAAAGACTGAGGGATGGGGATATGAGAATATTAGAAAGATGATGATGATTATTATTATTATTATTAGGATGTCTCATTGAGGAGCTTATTTTCTG